AAAAAAAAAAAAAGGACGAAAAGCACAGAAGTAATGTGTTACACGTCCCTGATTCCTGAGATATCTGAGATGCAGAAGGAGCAGTTCTTTGTAATATCTGACTCCACAGATATGCATCAAGCCATGGCATACACCAAGTACAGGGTGCTCTAATGCTTCCCATCCAACCTCCTGACACTTCACTCCTGCTGGTCCTGGAGAGAAACAGAGGACTCAGAATTGCCCCTGGGGCTCTCCCATCATGGGAGAAATGCCATCAGATCAGCTGAGGTCATCTTCCCATTCCTTGAGAATGCTTTTCAGGGGCAGACAGAACAAGGCACAACATCTTACTAGGTAATACTGGTGTCTCCTCATGTTTCTGGAGTGAATATTTTCATGTCAGGATGGAAAATCCAAACATCACAGTCACAGATTGCTTTTTTGTTCTGCTCCTCAACACTTATCTGTCTTTATTTTTCCTCTCTAAATCTGTGCTTCTATGTCTTATCCTGCACCTAATGGCTTGTAAGCTATTTCCAAGATGGAAAATGTGGTATTCTCTTATCTGTGCAACATTTTGTTTATTTATAGCATGACACTAATGACACTTTGAATTTGCTTCTGAGTTTTTTCTTATTGTAAAGACAAGGCACACAAACAATTGTGTCTGGGTCTAAGTACAGTCTTAACCCCATTCAATTTATTTTAGATGCTGAGTCCTCAGGAAAAGGGACCAATGACTAATAAATCAGGTGTTTCTTCCTTCACCTACTGGGATCAATAAGAAGCAGGAGAAAAAAGTTCTTGTTTGCATGAGATAACACAGACAAACAGCACCATGTAGTGGGTAAGAGCATATTTCAGGCTCTAACCTTTGCGCAGAGGCTTAGCTTATTGTGGTAACTTGTATTTCAGCAAGACTAAAAAACTGTTTGCTAAGAAGGGAATACAAGGGTATGAATATGGCTTGCATATACTTGGAGGGGATGTAATCCCCTTTTTACTGAGCAGTTTATGTAAACCTATACTGAGTTGGGCTTCCAAACCTACAGTATGTCAATGTGTTCCAGATGAAGCAGAAAGAGAGAAGGGCAAGAGAGCTCAACACCTTTATGCACAGTCCTAAACCCTCCAATCAGAAATGGATGGTACTTTGCCTAAAATGTCTCCTTTTGTCTTTTAAATAAACAGAAAATCAGATTCCTCCTTGTAGTTGCTTCACCTAAGAATATAGTGATCACCTTCCTAAAGGGAAACAAAGCTTATTACAGCTTATTTGTGTTGGGAAACCAGTGCTCTGGTGCATCATTCAAACCATTATTCCACAGTGGATTAACCCAGACAATAGTTATCAAAAATGTCACACCACAAATATGAGCCAGGAATACATTACTGGGAAAGCTGCCTGGACCAATGTGAAATTAGAGAAAATGGGCAAGTATTACGTATCAAACAATGCAAAACACTTGCATAGACTATGAACATACATCACTCTGCTTTTATATTAATTTTAACCAAGTAAAAAAAATTAAAAAACAAAACTGCATCCCTCTTCAGTGTCTCATCAGATTGCATTATTCTGACAGCTCCACAGGAATCCAGTGACTCTGCACTCATATTCTCCAGTCATGCTTCTGCCAGCATTTCCCTGACAGTAGTTGCATGTTTCCATCCTCCCTTGGGATGGGACACATTGCAAGTCCCATCCTCTCACCTCTGCACATCCCCTTGTCCTACTCTTTCTGCACTTCATTGTTTCTCAGACCTGCAGTCATCAGTTTCCCCAGTCTAGATCACCTTGCTCAGCAGTCTTAGCTGCACTCTGCAGCAGCACAAACTTATCCCATAGGTAATCCCATCTCTCCACATAGCCACGCTTCTGCTCAGACCTCTCTTGCTCCACAAATGGCCTCTTTCATTCTCAGAGTATTTCTGGTTTCTTTTTCCTCCCACTTCCTTCTCTAACTCTCTTGCCCTGCCCCACTGGAGTTCTCTGGTCATTCCCACACCCACCTCTGTGGCAATCTACAAGTCAGAAAATACTTGATTCATCCCTCTTAGCTGGGACAATATAACACAAATATATATAGAGACAGACAGAGAAAGCCAGATGTGTTCACTAACCCCTGTGCTTTTTGCCTTCTAACGCCCCAGATTATTTGGAGCAGGGATTTTATTAACTCTATTTATACTGCATCTAACACATAGGGGCCATGAATGGGGATTTGATTTCTGGACAATTTCATTCTAGAAAGTAAATGTTATGCTAAATAAATCCTTAGAGAAAAGATACTGGTAAAATCTGTCTTGTTCTAGGATTTAATAACAAATGTACTATTTGGTGCATAATAGGCAATTCATTTTGCTATGCATTTACTCTATTTAAAACATAAAGCACTTAAGGATATTTGGAGTATGCAAGACTATTAGAAAATCAATTTCTATTCTGGTTTATAGCCTAACCACTTAAAGTCTTAATTTGCTACAATTCACTTTCAGATATTCTGACTCGTTAAAGTGGATCAGCTACCTCCTGAACTCTGGTTATATGCTTGTTAGAGCTAAACTATTTAATTATTGTCTACCACATCCACTCTCTCCACTTGTTTAGTGCCTACATTTATGCATTTACAGCATCAGTTCAGGTTGTTTGCACTTGCTCGAGAACCTGCTGCCTCTTTTTCCAGGGTTTGGAGGAGGGAGGCTTTGGTTTCAGTGAGGGCTATCCCATTCCACTTGACAAATAAACAAACAGCAGAGTAACTGGCAGGAAGTCATGTCCCCTTGGTGAGCAGGGCTCCAGCTCATCAGAGGGCAAACCAGGCAGCATCATTTTCACTCCAGCACAAAGTGTCCATTCTTGATTCCTTGACCAAAGGAAGCAAAAGCAGAGGGACAACGAGCACAGCACATCTGCAGGGCTGGGTTTCACAGGAAGTTATGCAGCTCCTCCACAGATAAGTTTCACTGAAGAACAAAGACTGATTCTGTTCAATGCTCCGAGAATGCTGCATTGTACCTGGACTGAGCTTTTCATTCCTTGAAAATGAGGCTCAGAGAGCAAAATCTAATTTCTTCCTCAACCTTGTTTAAATTAGCTGCACGATTTTCATATCAGCCCTCTACTTACCATATGAAAAAAAGCTTAAAAGACACCCACTCTTCTCCAACTAAGTTTACATGTTTTATGTATTGATTTTAGCAGACTACACACAAGTTGGTGCATCCAAGATAAATGTCAGAGCAACAATGACTAAACCAGTTACGTGAAACTTAGTCTCTGATATAGAGCTGCCTTAAAGCTTAAGAAGCAAAATATTTATGACCAAGAGCAAGACAAATGGTGCAATAACACATTAGCAGGCAGTATTGTCACTGATTGCAAACATATTTTGAGCTTACATATTTCATGTACACCCTGACCTCAGAGGCATTCTACCCACTACAATTGGTTTTGCAGCAGCTCAACATTTACCAGGAGATAATGAGGTGTGTTTTTGAATGATACAAGCAGCATTAGATGTAGTGGGAGACAAAAACACGATCATATTAAAAGCAAATAGCAGAGCAGATTACCTCTTGCCCTCTCTTTTAGCTTGAGCAGCATATTCCAATAAGTGCAGAAGAAACACTGTCAAGTATTTCTTTATAGTTTCATTTTCTTTTTTTTTTAATCGACATTGCTTGCAATGCCCTTGCCCTCTTTAAAAGCTGCAGAATAAAATTCATTTCTCAGTCAATTTTGTACTCTCTCCCTCAGCAAAGAATGACAAGGGATAAAAAAATGGGTTCAAAACTTCACCCCCTTTCCAAGAGAAGAAATAGAGATAAAGGTTAAAGATAAGTTTTCATCAAAATTTAAAGGAACCATAAAGTTCAAAAGAAGGTCATCTGCCCTGCTCCTAATTATTGCTCATTTCTACTGTGCCCAGCTGCGGGAAAATAGTGGAGCATTTTATAGCAAACCATCACTAATAGTAAGCACAGCCTTGAAGATTCTGCTCTTTAAGGAGGGCAGTAGGATCTTTTCTCAAAATATTTCTAGGGCACTTTTGGAGTAGAAGTTTTGAAACGTGAGGAGAACAAGGTAAGAGTGGTCTGGGGAGGGCCCTGGATCTGAGCAGTATCACTAAGGCAGCTCAGTGATGCAGATCCCAGGAATTCCCCTTGGTGGCTGCCTGATCCGGAGTTGGGCTGGGACTGGAAGCAAAGGCTGTTTGTGCTGGCTCAGGGACTGGGAGCCCCGCGGGGCAGATGGGTTCACCTGGGAAGGTGGGCTGGAGGCTGCGTGTTTACTCTGGCTGGGTGCTCCAGAGCTGGAAGTCATCCCCGTGAAGGAGAAAATATCCAGAGCCCCTGAATTTATAGGTTGGCAGCCTCCATTTTTTTTTTTTTTTCCTTAACTGGAGTAGAGAAACTGCCTCTTTGTGGTTATTGATAGAAATTTTCCTTCAGTTTCAGGACTGATAAGATTATTATTTCTTCTGTAACTTAAAAAATCATATTTCTGCAGTCTGTTATTTAAACACTTGACCCTTGGTGCTCTCTATCACATACAGGGTTAGCATAAAGTTTGAACATGGCATTCACAATGGTGCACATTTCTGTACTAAACATAATTTACATGCACTGTCAGTCCAAATTTGACTTAATCACTTTCTCTCCTTATGTATTGCAAGTCTGAAAAACAGCAGCACAAGGAAGAAAGGTTTCACGTGTCTACCTCCCTTCCCACCTTTCAGCCAGCAAAAGTGATTCAAGTTAATTGTATGACATCACAGCAGTAATTACTCTCCAATAATAGTTTGCTCCCCTGTGTGACAGTGGGCATTTGGGTCAGCAGGTGCCATAATGGCAGTGACAAAAAAGCTTTGCCTGCAGCTTATCTGTCCTTCCTGCAAACTTCACCAAGCTTCCTTCTTTTATCCTTTTCTTTAGGGATGCACAGGAAATCAGCTCAGCTCCCCAGTACACCGAACAAACTGATTTCTCCAGCCCCAACTCTGATATATTCATAACGAATCCAGAAAGAGTCAGAGACTGATTCACAGCACAGCTCCAACTCCGTTACAACAGACAAACCCCAGCCTGCAGCTGAAGTTATTCTTTTGCCAAAGGAACAGACAACTGCTATTCAAGTAAAGGTAGCACATGAACTTGAGAAAACTGTTACATAAAATCACATTTTTCTACCTCTGGGGAGAGAGCAGCAACTGGCAGCTGCTCCAAGATGGCATTTTCTGATCCCACCTCTGATCAGTGCAGTGGACAAAGCAAAGCCACTGCCTCCTGCTTCCTCCTGTCCCCCTCCAAATTCCCTGGACAGCCAAAATGCTGTGGATGTGTGAACAGTTCAGGAGCAGCAGCCTGGCCAGCAGGTGAAAGAAATTACTCCCACTACATACAGAAAATAGTCATGAGAAGACACGTGGTTTGGGAGAGGGAACTGCGATGAAATGCCCTCTGAGCAACTGGGCATGGATCTTTTCCTTTCCCTGAGTGTCCACCAAACTGTCTGATACTTTGCTTTTTGAGAAGATATGCAACTCAGAATGCATGTCATTCATTGTGTCCAGTAATAAACAAAATATTTAGTGCATTTTTAATGCTGTAAAACCATTTAAAAGACTTTTAAACCTTCCACTGTGGGACAGAATTAGAATTGTTTTGCTATCTGCAACAGGCCTAGCCTCCAATCATGTAATTAAGCAATCACAATTTGCAAAATTGGTTTGTTTGGTTCCCACACCACACAAATACTGATAAAAGCTTTTTTGTTTGTCAGTGCACTGTAACTTACAGGTTATGAACAACACCATTTGGCAAATTTGGAGCTTGAAGACCATGTCCACATCTCCCAGTGTTTTCCCCACACTGGATTCTTTACTCAGTGTGCACTTCATGGTTCCAGTGGCTGCATGTACTGAAGTAATGTAGCAGCTACAACTTGAAATAAAAGATTTAAGGCTTGTTAAGCATAAATGATTTTTTTCTTTCTTTATGGGACAGAAGCTTATACTTCCTGCAGCCAATTACACCATCTTTAACCACTGCAAGGGCTCATAAGCAGCAGCATATGCAGAGTGACTGGCTGCATTTTGTAGCTCAGTTCTTACAGACACAGACACGTGTCCTGCAGACCAGAAGCACCATATGCTCCAGGAAGAAAGTGCTGGGGGCTTCTGCACCATCCCATGTACTCCTCCTGTTCCTCAGACTACCCAAGTGCACTGAATAGCCAAAGCTGTTCATGTAAGAAGTGTGCACCTTGTACCCATGGGAATTTTTTATTCAGCAATAAATGTACTATCTGTACCAATAACAACAAAAACAAACAAAACCAGAAGATCATGTGATCATTTAAGCAGGTTCCCTGCAAGATTTCCAGCAGAAACTTTTGGCACTACCAATCAGCCAAGATTTCTATTGCTGAAACTTTCATTCTTTATGAAAAGAACCCCCTAGATTACAAGGGAGAAAAGAGAACTACACCAGAAATACCTAAGGCAAGGAAAGCCAACATTCTCTCACGGGTTTTCCAGACAACCTAGCAGCAAGGCAACTCTTAAGGCCCCACAGGACAGTTCAAAATGCATATAAAGATTTTTGCTTGCTGTCAAACACACCAGATAACTGAGGATTTTAGATCCCAACTCTGAACAAGGGTCTATGTTAAACATCAAAATCCTTGGAGGATCACCAGGAAGAACATAAGGAGGATACAATACTTTGATGTACTTTTGTGGGTGATAGGGGGAACAACAGTCTGCTCTTTGAAGAGCAGAGAGACTTCACAGTCTGTATTTGTATTTATTTTCCAGCAGGATTTCCAATGCACCCAAGACCAAATGTCCAGACTAAGTGCTTTCTGGAAAGAGGAAACATCTCAGTGTTGACTATACCATGACAGGGTGTTTCATCAGCACCTAGCTCATGAAGTAGAAATAAAGGGAGCTTGAGAAAACAAGCAGTGGTACTGTGTTCCAGAAGCTGATTAGTTCAGAATGTTACCAAGTACAGCATTTACTAATATTTGCTAAAACTTGCTCTTCAGAATCCGGCTTCCCTAAATTTAATTCTCATTCTCTCTGCATTTCCTCTCTACATTAAGGTAGATGGGCAGCTTGCATACTTAGTCACAAATGGAAGAGCTTTGCTATTAAAAGGCCAAATTCACAATTCTGCTGCCATCTCTATGGCTACAAGGTTGCACTTTCAAAAGTGACAAAATTAGACTTTGGTTATATCTATATAAAATTATTGCTTTATGAGAGGTGATTTGGATTTGTGCTGGTGCAAGCTAAATTTAGCCCTGAAGGTGATGTTTCAGAGATTTTAATGAAGTGTTAATTTTATATAGCTTAAAATAGAATTGGAAAACACCTCCTACACAATTTTTCTAATATCTAGGTTAGCATGTCTGTTACTTGAGTTCCTTTGTGCTTTAAATTATTGGCATTTGACTTGCGGTTTTGGCAGCTATAATCTGCTTCCTCCAATTAGCAATGAATGGGAAGGGATTACTGTTTTTAAATGCAATTCAATATGGACAATGTTACATCAGTTTCATCCACTGAGAAATTCAGAATTTGCTTGCATCCAGCCCGATTCTGCTGCAGAAGCATTGTGCTGTACTTGTCACACATTTGCTAAAGCCCCAGTGTTAATTCACACTGGAGCCAAAAGCTGATCTCAACAGGCAGGTGAGATTGTCCAGGTGTTTCTGGCAGGAACACAACTGAACCTGTGCTGCAGCAGTGCAGGTGTTGTGCAGCCACACCTCCCACTGCACCTGCACTGCTGTGCCAGCTCTTGTTTCCAGGCCACCACATTGTCTGGGATGAAGAAATTCCATCTCCAGGGAGTGCTGGCATTTGGAGTTGTGCAGTTTGTCTGTGCACAACAGAAACACCTTCACACCTGAGCTTATAACTATACATGAAAGCCTCCCTCCTGCCACTACAGCACACAGGAACTGGATGAGAGCACAGCACTCCTCAAGTAACACCAATCCTGGCTCTCCCTGTCAGCCCCAGTTATGTTTTGAATGCTCTGTGGCTGTGTGCAAGGCAGGAGGTGCAGGGTGCAGAGGCACTCCCACTCTGCTGCAAAGGATAATTCCCTGCTCCCGGGCACTTTGCCCCCTTCAATCACTGCCAGCCTTGGGGGGCTGGCTATGCTTCAGCTCGCCTCCAAATGAAGCTATGGAGGAGGATCCAGGCAATTCAGATGGTGTGGGATGGATGTCAGCAAGCTGGACCCTCAGTAATTAATGGTTTATAAAGATTCCTGGTATCCAAAATGAGCCTGCTTATGTGACAACATCAATCTGTTCCAGGGGGTGATCAGAGGCAGGTGAGAGGAATAGGTCTGTGCCATCACTCTCCAGGATGCGCCTGGGGAAGGGTCATGGCTGGGCTTCTTCCAGGTCTTGTTATTACCCATAACATCCCCTTTGTGCTGACAGTGAATGTAAACAGACCCAGAATCAAAGGCCTGCAAAGGACAACAGAGGTGAGGTACCCTAGAGCCAAACTTCTCAGGTTTGTGTCAGCTATTCCACTCTGCTACAGGTCCAATGCCAGACTAAAATAATGAAAAATGGGTTGAGTTTCACTGAAGTAAGGTCATTTTTGTGGTAATGTTTACCTGAAGTAGGACTGACCAAATCACAGAAAACTCCCAAATCTTGAGGGTTTTGTCAGGGCACTTTACCAGCTCACTGAGTGAGGTGTAAACATGCATTCAAACTACTTGGGGCAGAAACCAAACAACAAAACACCTTTTTTTTTTTTTTTTTTCCAACTAGTAAACAACATTCAGTGACTAACAAGCAAGAGCTAGTTGTGGAAGAAATGTTACTTTTGCAAGAATTACTGGATTTTGTGGAAAGAAACTTCATTCAGAATTGGATTCACTTCATTCAGAATTCCCCCCCTCCTCCTTTTTAAACCAATATTTAAATTTGTTACTTAAGAAAAAGAATTAAAATGTCTCCTCACCCCTGGAAGAAGTTTTGTTACTAATAAGGATCCTCTATAAAACTTCTTTGATTAAATGAAGAAAAAGAAAAGATGAATAGACAGCTAAATATCCTCTAATAAGAAAAGTTAATAAGGGAAATGGTTCTAATATTTCTTTCTCTATAGTGGCTCCATTGTTTTGATTGGAGAGGCAGAAGTGAAGCACACACTCAGTGCTGAATTCCCACGACTAAATCACCTGCAAGACTGTATTTTGCATTTGAAAGCTCTTTGACAATGTCTGTCCCAGGGTAGATGCCTTCGCTTCTGTGATGCGGTTAAGCCATTTTGCACAATCATGTAATGGATTAAATTAGATTTAGTCTTCCTTGAATGTTTTCTATGAGGTCTGGGTTAGAGATGGAGCTCAGCCACACCCACTCACAGTGAAGAGCACTCTTGAAGACATTTTGCAGGATGGGCTTAAGTCAAAGAATCAAAATGAGAATACAGACCTCCACTTGTACAGAAAAATATGCCAAAGTTTCAGTGACCTTACTCTTTTTTCCCCCCCTTTCTACCTCTGAACTGGAATATTGTGTCATTTTCTACTATTTCATAAACCCCTTTTGAAGCTGGGGAAAACAAACAAACCCCACTGCACTTAATACCTCAATGTATTATCCCAATAAGAGGTTTTGAGAGAAAAATGAAATAATTGCACGTTCTTTTGTGTCACCAACAACCAACCATCCATTCTTCATCCCTGGAAGAATTCAAGGCCAGGTTGCATGGAGCAACCTGGTCTAGGGGAAGGTATCCTTGTCCTCAGCAGAGGATTTGGAACTAGGTGATATTTAAGGTCCCTTCCAACCCAAGCCATTTTAGGATTTTTTGATTCACATCATTGATGAAACATGGAGCCAGTAGGACAGAAAAAAAAACCAAAAAAAACCAAAACCTTACTAAAAAGTTGCTTTCATCTTGTAAATTTAACTTGTTTTTAATGAAGGCATTAATGGTCAAATGTATTTTGTAGGTATTTGCTATGGTATAAAATAGACTTGGGGAGCCCATTTCAGGGAAAAAATACCCTTGATCAGGCAGTCTGCATTTAATAACATAGCAGAGGACATAAGCATGTCATAAAAAATAAATCTAATATTTAGGCCTAATTTTTTACTATCTGGCTTGTATTTAAAGGTCTGCTTTAAGGTGCAAATGGAAAGTTCCCCTTTGATTTCAGGAGACTTTGGCTGTGTGTTGCTTAATAGAAACTTTGTTAATGAAGTGTCTATTGGTTACTGAACATGACACATTTCCTGGCATTTTAAAAAAAACTCTTCTAAATATACAGAAATTGTCTACTCTTGGAGTTTCTTAAGAATGGGGAAATAAAATAAGCAGCTGACACTATGTTAGCTAATTGACTTTCAAATACTTCTTTTAACATTGAAAAGGGGGATTTTGCACTTAGCCCTGATAATGACCAGTGGAAGGGTCTCTCTCTACTCTTACACAACCAACCTGCTTGGGCTGCACCACCATTCACATCCCCTTTTCTTCAACTTACTGTCTGCTTTGTTTAATTCTGAATGAAACTCAAAAAATTCTAAAAGTTGTTTGGGTTGAAACTGTAAACCACATGAAACCCCTGCTATAATTTAGGTTTGTTTTTTTTTCCCTAAGCTTAGTCAGAATTCTAGCCAAATTGGCAAATATGATCAGAGCTTCAGGTTGGTGCGTGTGAAACAAAAATCCCCCCAAAATCTGAAAACCAAGTCACTTTTGCCTTATTTTAGGGATTTCTGTGGAGAACATTAAACAGCCCTGTGTAACAGGATTAAAATAAATTTAACTTCCAAGGTCTGAAATTTCTTCCTCCAGGGTTTAATGACAGTTTTATTAACATAAGCTGATGCAGGATTAGACTGTTAAATATTTAAACTCCAACACTTCCTGAAATTAATCTAGAAAGGGAAAAATTTCAGCCTGTTCCTTACCTAAAATAATCTAT